CATCTAAAAGGCAAATTTTTGTAAAATCAGCAAATAATCAAACATCTTAGGAATATATGTCAAGGGCAATAGAAATAGAAGACCTTCAAACAGGAAAAAGGTTGCAAAGTTGCATGTTTTTGTAGTAATATCACCAACTCACCCCATTAATCTGTTAAAGTGAGACTTGATGGAAAATTAGGCATTGCAATTTTCCCCACGCTGGGGGGGAACGAAGGCTGTATGAATAATAGATGTAATAGTGATGCAACCAAATCCTTCTGTGTTTTATGCAACATGCTTAGCACTTCTGCTCCATGTCTATTTTTCCAGCTATGGAAACAGCCTTATAAAATTCTGTTCAATGTAAAACCCCAGGTTCAAGATTTAGCATGTGTTAAAATAACTCAGCATTCTTTGCTATCACAATCGGATGAAAATGATTTCAAAGATATTCCAAATGCTTTGTGGTCTACAAGAAGAATTGATGTAGGACTGTTGACAACTATAGATTCAGTTAAAATAGTTCCTAAATCGCAATACAGGCCAAGGATAAAACAATATCTGCTAAAATGTGAAGCAAAGGAAAGTATAAAACTAGTTATAAAATTTTAGCGGGTGCAGAAAAAAGTTTGATGTTTGGGCCATTTCAGAAGAAGGTAAAAAGCTACAAGAATGTATTTTTAGACTGCAGGGCTTAGATTCCACATTATGAAAAAAAAACGTAGCTTTTCTTAAGTTTTTTTTATGACACACTAGAGCTAAGTCAGAGAAGCAGACAGCAATTCACAAAGCTAAAAGTAGAACCTTTCTCAGCAACTGTTTTAGCTTTGTAAACTTATCAAAAACCGTGCATCCAAATAGTTGGCGGTAATGCAAGTTATATGACCTCTGTGTTGTTACAGTCTCATGGTGATAGGCTCATACCTGTAGTGTCCTACTTTAAGGGTTAAAGGGACCCATGTAAACAACAGTTCCCCCATATTCGTATTCTTTATTATATTGTGTACTTGGATGTGTTTATATAAATAGAAAACTGTAACTGAAGCGTGTAACAAATTTAATTTCCCTCTGGAATTATTAAAGTATTTCTGATTCTGATTGAAAGCAGCAGCTGAGGAGGGATATTGGGTATAATACAACAAGTATTTTAATCCTGCAGGATTAAATAACTACTTTGAAAATTTTTGCAGAGCATGTCTCACATGTTGCGAAGAACATGTAATCTGCCCAGAGCTCCTTTTATTTTCCCTACAGGAAGGCCTGAAGCCTGGAGACAGAGTGCTGATTAAAATAATCAAGGGGAATATTGGGCAGCTCCAAGGTGGGAAGGACCCTACATTGTGCAGCTAGCAACTCCAACCACTGTGAAGATCCAAGAGAGAAACACTTGGATTCCCCAGAGTCATTGTAAGCTGATAAAAGATTTTCCTCAGCAAGAAGCCCAGTTACCTTCACAGGGACCCCACGACTAAGGTAGGGATCTGTGGTGAAGCCCAGCTACACAGGGGTTAAGCAATTTAGAGCTTTTCGTCTCAACGCTGGTGAAGAAACCAACCTAACTCAATCCCTTAGCGTCCTGGTTAGTGGGTGCTTCCTTGGAAGAACTAGTGAAGATGGGAAAACTAAAGTGGCTCTGCTGTTTGATGGTGACCATTGGACTGGTGCTCTTAGGGACTCAAACTGACTGCCAGAAACAAAGGAAAAACCAGAATGGTTTTTGATGAATCCACAGCAATTCATCCCTTTGGTGCCAATATGAGGTGGTAAACATTCCAAGCGCGTTGCTGAAGGTTTGAATAAAACAGACTGTTATGTTGACCATCACATTTCCAGTGCAAGTCCAGCACCATGGACAAGTTGGTTCACCATGGGATCATGGTGGCAGATGCTGATGAAGATAGCTTTACCATTTGTAGGATTGTTTTCATATTTTTCCTTTTTATTTGTTGCTTAATACCATGTCTCCAGTCAATGATTCAGAGAATTATAGGATCGACTCTAATCCAGTATTCAGCTGTAACTTATGTTCAACTCCGCCAAGATGCTGATTAAGATACTGATGGTGTGACAAGTGTGTAATCTGTTACAGGGATAATGATCGCTTCCGAGGGAAGGATCGGGTAGGAATTTTCCTCTATTGGAGAGGTTTTGCCTACTCAAGGGACAGATTTTTAAGCTTTTTACATTCTTGATAAATCTTACATTTTTGCTTAAGTTTCACATTTTAATCCTTTTCATATTTTTGTTTTTTGCATATTGATCTTTGATTACTGAATTCCCTTTCTGCAATGCATTTATGATGTGTGTAGTAAAAATCTTTTTAGAAGTGCTACATGCTAATGTGTATATGCACAACAGGAGGGAAATGATGATTATAAAATCAATGTGTGCTTATGAAACATTTGTGCAAGGGGATGCTCCACTCCTGTCTCATGATTCAGTCAGGAGACCATCCTGCCTTGTCATTCTGATAGAGCATTCTGTCTTCATGAACTGATCAATTGTTCTGTCAGAACAATACTCTGTTTGTAACCATGCGTCATGTTCTGTTAATAAACGCTCTGCAGAGGAGGTCCAGTGGGAGACAGTATGTTTGAGTCTGGGGTTCAACTGTCTCTCCTTCCTGCGGGAATTGTATCGATAAGTCTGTATTTCAGTTCTTCTTAAAAAAAAATGAACCCGACAAACTCAGTAGGCTATAATATAAGCCTGAGTTGCAGCATATGACCTGATGCTGCAAATGTCACTGTGGTAAGTTTCCAACTTATGGTTTCTTTGGCATTGCAGAGGTCAGATGTTTAAGTGTTTAGGTATGAGTCAGCCATTATGCTTTCAGGGTGGAGGGATAAACACCTTTCCATCCACTGACTACACCCTGAAGATCCTGTTTACGTACACCACTAACAGTAGGATGAATACAGAATATGGAGACTATAAGAAAATGAAAAGCTTGGCAATATGGAGAACATCAGGACTCTAGAAGGCAATATAACTCAAAAACCTATATTAAAACTCCTGAAAAATGTACAGTTCTTTCCCTTTTTTTTTTGTTTGCATTTTGTTGTTTTTGATTTGTTATTTCAGGGATAACAGACTCTGCTGCTTAGTTAGACCTTTGGGCTCAGATGGTTTAGGCCGTAACTTATTAATAAATAATAAAGTCACAGTAGTTGGAGCCGTGGCAGCCTTTAATGCCTGGAATGTGTTTTCTAAGTCTGGAACAAAAGATTGATGAGAATAAAAATTGAAAATGCTGATTTAAAACAGGTAAATATACCAAGTCCAAATAGTCAACAAGTGACATTATGTAGAGGAGCTTTTTACATGTAAAGAAGAAAATTGATCAGATAAATTCAATTGTGTAAAACGTGGTTATTAAAATCTTCATAGATCATTTGATGTGTTTTTATTTCCGGTTTCATTTCCTTTCACTTTCAGAACTTCTCCTTTCAGCAGAGCTGCAGCGGTTTTCTCTGCATCTCTGCAGAGAATCAAAGACCAAAGTCAAAGCAAGATGATCCTGCTGCTCTCTCTGCTTTGCTCCATCTGGGGAGAACCTTCTCTGGCTCTGGAGGAGGACAGAGCTTTCAGTTTTGAAGGGGACCTCCAGCAGCTCTCAGTGAGCCATGACTCTGTTTATATCTCTACAGAGGAGAAGCTTTACCAGCTGAGCCACAACCTGATTCTGATCCACAGCCTGAGCCTAAGAGGGATCCTAAAGAACCCGCGTCAACGGAACAGAGAGGAGTTTCATCGGGTCTCAATGAATGAAGCCTGTGATGCGACTTTCAACATAAATGTTTTATTACCTTTTGTCAACAATGGGACATTGATCGTCTGCGGTGCGACAGACAAAGGCTGTGGTTACTGTGAGGTTCTGGACCTGAGGGACATCTCTAAGCTGGTGCACAGAGAACACATCCAGGTGGGACCTCAGAGGAACAGCAGAGGTTCTGTCAGCTTTCTGGTGGACGTGAAGAAGGATTCAGGTCAGACTGAGACGTACATCCTGACCGCCATCCAAAAACAAGAGGAACCCAAGTGTGCATCTGACTTAATGACAATCAACCTTCAAAACACAGATCAGAAACAGTCTGGGGGGATATTTTATTTGTCTGATGAAGGGGAAACATCTAACATCCAAACTGAAGCTGGTGTAGATTTTGTGGATGGATTTCAGATCAACTCAACAGTGTTTCTGTTCTCCAACGTGGCACCAGGAGCTAAAACCAACAAAGTCCTTCTGATTTGGCTTCAGGCTGAAACCAGTAAAGCTCAGACTCTAAAGTCTCTTCGCGGAGCGACTCTCAGTAGCTCTGATGGAGGTGAAGGCAGCAGACTGCTGGCCTCCTCGCTCATCCCAGGAGGACAGCAGGTCCTTTGGAGCGGAGTGTTCAGTTTGGATGGAGGAGAGACCAACACTGAGCTGCTGCTGTTTGACATCAGTCCTGATCAGAGCAGGACAACAGACACCGATCCAGACTTCTATTACTCATCAAACAAGCCGGTAGGTGGCTGGATTTAACTAAACCCCCTGATGATGTTTGTATTTAGTCTTTATGACTGAAAATACAGCAGTCATTTAGGGATTCTGCAAATAGATCATTTAAAATTTTATTTAAGAGGCAGTTTTTATATTTTAATGTTTACATATATAAAGTCTGGCACAACTTTTTGGATCAACCTTTTTTATTACATCTAAACTTTATTGTGCTCAGTTTTCACCATCCCTGGAATAGTTTCCCAACCCAGCATTCTACAACGTTAAAACAAGCTTCTCTCTTTGTCAGTCAGAAGCTGCGGTCCTGATACCAAAGGCAAAGCTTTTTAGGAAGAATCACATGAGCTCAGTTCTGGCTGTCAGGCTGAACGGCTGGATGGTTTTCTTCATTGGAACGACAGACGGACAGCTCATCAAGGTGTGTAGAAAAGCATAATATGAGGAAAAAAATAGTTCCATCACATTACATAGCATTGAACACAATTTCTATGAACTACAGAAGCATTAAAGTAAAATGTAGAACTGATGAATTACTTTGACTCTTTAGTTAAAGGAGAAAACATGTGGTGTCTTATATATAGAATGTTGTTCGTCTCCTTGTTGTTAGAACAGAAAAACTTCATAGGATGAATGGAATTACACAGGGGGTGTAGTCTGTTTTAATTATATTTTTTTCCTAGCAAAAAACTGTTTAACATTTTGCTTTTATCTGACCAAAGTCCAAGTTTTACACTGCAAAAAGAGAGAACCTGTAGAAGCTCCTGCAAACAGACATGCATAGGGGACGCCGCCACTGGCCTCTCCGGTCTATTTTTATCCATTTGCTCCTGGGCGTAATTCTGACTCCCGTGCTGCGGTGGCGCTAAACCTATTTTGCCCTCCTACCTCGCTTCCTTAAAGGGCTGGTTGTACTCCTGCTGCAATGTGTCACAGTGAACTTGATGCAGACATTTTTGATTTATGCTCAATATTGAAGCGTTGTCTGCATTATACGCTGTGGGTCTAGATACAGCCGAGGCGATGGGGAAGTGGGGGCGAGTTTAGTCCAACAGCGGAGGGACATGAGGACGAAAAATAGCGTGGATCTAGTTGGAAAAAGGGTCCCAGCGTTCTTGCGCACCCCACTATTCTAGCTGGTCCAACCCAAGTTGTTTTCCTCAATTTCTGTAATAAAAACAAAACAAGCCGGCCTCATGTCTGCGGCACTGTCTGCGCTCACCTACAATTTGGGAGAGGTACAGCAGAGGGGGCGGGGACGTCGACACTCTGGAGCCGGGGTATTGCATTGCACTGATTGCACTGAGGGGCTCCTCAGTGGCACCGTGGTGCTGTAAGGCACTGCTGCCTTACAGCAAGAAGGTTCTGGGATCGATTCCCGGCCCAGGGTCTTTCTGCATGTAGTTTGTATGTTCTCCCTGAGCATGTGTGGGTTCTTTCCGGGTACTCTGGCTTCCTCCCACAGTTCAAAAACACGACTGTTAGGTTAATTGGCTTCTCCAAAGTCCCCTTAAGTGTGTGTGAATGGTTGTTTGTGTGTTGCCCTCTGATGGACTGGCGACCTGTCCAGGGTGTACCCCGCCTCTCGCCCATTGACAGCTGGAGATAGGCACCAGCAACCCTTGCGACCCCACTTGGGATAAGTGATTTTGAAGATGGATGGATGGATGGATGATTGCACTGGTTTTGTACAGTATTTTTTGATGCAAGGCTACTTCTGTTATTTGCTGTTTCTCAAATAAAATGCATAACAATATTACAGCTTTCATTAATTCATTTCAAATTTGAAACATTGTCTAGCCTATAAGGTAAAAAAAGAACCAATTAATCTAATCGAACGTATCGTGGTGTATTCTTCAGTATCGAAGATAATCGAATCGTTGGGTCAGGAAATCGATACTGAATCGAATCGCCATGATGGGTATGGTTTTCACCCCTACCCACAACCCGAGTGCCACCAAACCACCCCAGCAGAGCCCCCATCCCTAAGCATCCGAGACAGCCAAGCATCCCGGACAGCCCCATGCAGCGGGCCAGCACAGTTCCCAGCACCACTGACCAGCTCAGTCTCCTGGGTGCCATTGTGTGCCTGCAGGGTGGCGCAGCAGCGGGGATGCTGGGGCGGCACCCAGTCCAATGCCAGCAGCAGCACAGGCGGGCCCGGGGACCCAGAAGCTGACCCAATCATAGCCTCAATCACTCCAATCAGACCTTGGCTGCCACAGACCCCAGCAGGAAAAACGCAGACACCCTTAACCCTATGCAGCTACGGACAGCCGGTGCGCAGGAATCATTAGGCTTAACACATGCATTTGGGAAAGAAAAGTATTCTTATCCAGTCAATGAAGTTTGATCCAACCCATATTTGTTTAGGGTTGCAAACAGGAATTGCGCTTTTTCGGCATCAAGCGACAAGATTATAGTTTCCACTAGTGTTACGCTGATGCCATTTTTTGGCCCAGATACCCAATACCTGGCTGTATATCTGAAGAACTGCAGACTACTTGGATGTAAAATAACTGCCATAATAGCTTTGTCAAGCTGCTGCCTTCCTTTGTGAAGCAGGAAAAAAAACTAATACAAAGTGAATCCAGTAGAACTTTTTATTGCCTACCTGGAATGGGTCACAATAGTTGAAGAAACTTTTGGCTCTCAAAATGGCCTATTTGTTGGTACTCACCGATACCATCATTATAGTCCTGGATCTGGGCCCTGTCCGATACTGGGGCCCTGTCCTGTCTTGGATAGATATGTTGATCATTATAAATCTGCCTTCAGAGTCTGTAACTGTGCTGTTTACAGTCAATTTTACTTTTCTGTTTATCAAAAAAGCTACACCTCTTTGGCTAGACTCGTAACTGACTGAATGTGAGGAAACTGTGACATAAAAAATGTTGAGGTATGTCTGTTCTTAGCCTCACAGGCTCCAAACGAAGGTCATGAGAGATAAAAATGAGTTACACAGCTTCCTTAATGGCATGAAGGGGAGGACTGCTGTTTTGGGAAGATCCATCTGGCCAGTGAAAAACAGATTAACCCAACTGGGAACAGCCTTGATGAGCTCAAGTTGTTTTTCCTCCAAATGTTCAAGTGTGAGAAAGTTCTTTATGCAGAGGGTGCGTTGGGATTTTTATAAGTTATATGTATGCTTCAGTCAGAGCTCTATCTCTGTGTCTGGGGACGTTAAATAAATTTTAACCTTTTTTCTTTCATGAAATGCCTCCGTCTCTCGTTCCTAAAGGGCAGATTATACTTCTGCAACCGCACACATCAAATGTCTCTTGGGTCTGGTCACGAACCGTTTTTGCTGGTATGCTTCTGCACCGTCGGTCTGGAATTTCTAGGGACGCACAGCAGTTTCCCGCCGAAGTGCGAGGGGGAGCTTATTCGAGAACTCGAAAGAACTTCGGCCGGTGGTCACCAGAAATAATTTAGTTAATGGAGCGAACCTCTTTGATTAACCTTTTGTCGTAGTTCTCCATTGAAGTTGTTCCGCGGTTTTGAAAAATGATGGGCCCCGGCACCAAATCGAGAAGGACGACCACACAGACAGCCGGAAAGGCATAGGACTAAAGGCGAGGACTAATCAGAGCTGGTTTTTGTCTGTGCACTTCCACTGGAGGTCTGCACGGGTTTGTGACCTTCCGATGCATAGTCATGTTTTTTTGTGGTGCATGACGACAGTTGCAGAACCTCTGTGCGGGGGGCGTGGTCGCACACAGAGACTGATTTGACGGTTGGAGAGGCTATGCGTCAGAAGCATAAATTGGCCTTAACTCCACAAAACTCTGCTATAGTCAGAGCATCATCTGTAGACAGATGAGTCTCCTGTAGTAAAGAGATGTCTGCCTGCAAAAGCTTCAGTTAATGAGCTATTTTTAATCTCTTCTCTTTGGACTCAGTTCCATGCACATTCCATGAGCCAAACCTTAATGTGGACATGCTCCTAATCATTCAATGATTGGTGTTCTGAAAAATAGAAAAATGCGTCCTGTTGCGTGCGCAGTACTGATGCTTGTGTCTGCAGCCACCATCTCTGTGTGAGTCATTAGGGGAGTGTTCCTGTGGGTGAAGTTAAGCAGACACTTGAAAATAACCTTAATCAGCTTCAGCTTGTGGTCTGTACAGTTTCATCTGCTAAAACAGACATTATAGTCAACCCTTCCAAGCATTAACATAGCATAATACCACCACCCGTATGCTTTTTTTTGCCTCTTGTAGCCTTTTTCTTTCTTTCTTTCATTCATCTTATCAAAGGACATTCTTCACATGTTGGTTGTTTTCTCTGCAAACTGAGCTCCTTGTGGTCTACTTTCAACAATAGCTTTGTTTTTGACATTTATTGGCACTTTAATTTAGTAGAGGTAATTTATACAGTACTAAGATCTATTCTAAAGAAATCCCAGTGTTCTACTGTTTTATGACTTTTTTCATTTTCCATTACATCATCTATTTTTATTGTTTTATGTCTATAAACATGTAGGATTGAGATCTCACAGACTATAGTGAAAGTTTGCCTAATTTTAGTTTACAATTTGAAGTGTCTAATCTCCCATGGTGGTTGAACTGTGTAGATTGTGTAAGAATAGCAGTTGTGTTGATTCGTTATCAGTGATGAAGATGTGGGACATACATGGAATGCGTTAGCAGTTGTCTCCTGGTTAAATGTCCAAAGTCTGTGTCTGTGTCCGTCCGTCCGTCCGTCAGTCCATCCATCCATCCATCCATCCATCCATCTCTTAACTAAATGCTGTAACTGTCACCTACATTATTGTTGTTGTTAGCTTGCAGTAGACAGGAACTATCAGCCCGCCTGTCCAAAGATCCTCTACAGAACCAATGGAGACAACAGAGTGTTTCCTAAAATCCATCTGGATCCCGTGGATCAGAAACATGTGTATGTGGCGTTTAAAAACCAGGTAGATTGGAGTTGTTTCATGGGAAGTTTCTCTGTGTTGAATGTTAAGGTGTGTCTGAAACATGGTGCTCTGTTCCAGGTGAAGCATGTTTCGGTGTCAAACTGCGGCGCTCACCAAAATGTAAAGGATTGTCTTTCTGCACAGGATCCATTCTGTGTCTGGTGTTTGACTGAAGGAAGGTCAGAGAAACGTCACCTGCTGCTGAATCCTTCAGACAGATCTGAACTTGGTGATGACACTTTTAAAATTTTTCAGATGTAAATTTGAAGGAGACTGCAAAGATGGAGAGTGGTTTTCCATCCCTGATGAATCCAAGCAGAAGATAGTTTCTCACATAGTTATGCAGGACTCCACAGGAGCGGTGGGCTATAAATACATTACTGACTGTGTTCAGATGGAACCATCAGTTATTCGTCTACTTTATTTGTTCTTCCCTCAGATCAAACTAATCATTCAGACACATCTGACCCTGAAGCAGACGGTTCAGTCTACATTCGCCTGTCACTTCTCATCCTCCATCCAACTTTGTAAAGAAACTGGACCACCACCACAGTACCCACGATGCACCTGCATTCTAAAGGACTTTCTTCCAACCGATGGTCAGTGACGGTCAGGCAGTCGTTTAATGTTTTGTTCTAGATACTCAGAGTCTTATGAAAATGTCCTATTTTGTTGGATTTACAGAACTTGATGTCAATCTAAAGATCAGACTTGGAGGAACAATCCTGGCAGACCAAATAAAGATATCCAACTGCTTAAGTATCACTGGGGAAGCAAGTTTTCACCTGTAAGTTTCTTTATGTATTAAAATACAGATTTAAGCAGGAAGTTAAACAAAAGTTTCTGTAGAAATCTACATAATATTATACCTGCAAAGCTATGGTAAGACGAGCTAAAGACTAGATGTCTACCAAAGAGATGTCTTAGAACAGCTGCTGTATTAATGTTTAATACTGTGCATAGACCTAGATAATATAGACATTATTAATCAGAGTTTGATGATTATCTTTGGTGATCAGTGTCCAAAGCATCAATACTGTAAAGCATTGTTTCGATCCAATGTTTTTAGGCCTTTATACTCTATCTTCCACTGTTGTTGTCTGTCAGTCTGGCGGAGCGGACTCTCTAGGCCAGGCTTAGCTTAGACAATGTTAGAGCTAACAGAGAGTCATAGGAGCATTTGGTTATAGAAAGGAAACAGGAAATATTGGATATTTACATCTGATATAATCCCACAATCAAACTATTTAATTTAACTCCAGTATTTCCCTAAAAACAGATGTTAGAGCTGGTATTTAAATCTGACGATGACTGGTTGGTAAATTAATCTGCTTCCTGCTGCCCCTAAAAAGAAACAGTCTGAGAAGCTTCATTCTTCACTCAATGAACTGGATCAGTGCGTCTTTCACCAGAACAATATAATCACTGACTGAGTGTTCGAACCTTGGTATTTCTAAAATAATGTATTATAATGTTTTACTTCTGTGACTGTTTTCTCTTCAGGTGTCAGCGATGTATCAGAGCCGGCTGTGGATGGAGACAGAACCGCTGCTCCTGGGGCAGTGATCCAATCCAGAAGGTATTGATGAACAATTTATGAATGCTTGGTTAAAATAAACATAGAGTCCAATGTTGTATGTTTTGTATGTTAAATGAACCCTTTTTTTTCTACATTTTAAGTCTTGAATTTATTAAACTGGACTAATAACAGCCTCACAGGATGATAAAAATTTTTCACCTCTTTCTTCCTGAAGGAAAGCATTTGTGAAAACATGGAGTTTAGGAAAAACTTTTTTGTGAGTTCTAATTTTTGCTGATCTATGTGCTCACTTTATAAACTTTGAATATTAGTCATATATAATGAGTAACAGCTGTATTTTCTGTGTTCCCCTTAGAAACCAGAGATCTTCTCCATTTCTCCCAGCTTTGTGTCTTTCTATGGCAGAAATCATGTTGTGCTGTCAGGTCATAACCTCAGAGATGTGACCAGAGTCAGGATTCAGGACAACATGGGCTGTGATACAAAGGAGTGAGTCGTTCTGTACTTTCCTGCTGCTGAAATTATGTTATTCTTCTGCTGTGTTGTTTAGTTTTTGCAAAAGCACCTGCTATACCTGGGGTAACCAATTAATTAATTAATTTTCTTTTTGAGTAGAGAACAACAATCGCTAAGTTTGGTATATAGACAATTTCCTGATTCACATATTTTCTAAAACACCTGAACTGATCGTTTGTTGTTTTTCTTTCTTTTTTCTGTCTTAATGTTGGCAGTGGGCTTTAGGCTGCCCTGCAAGGCTTTAAACCTGGGTTTAACCGGAGACTAAGCCATTCTCAATTTGAGATTGGCTTAGGCTCATTCTGAGCCTGGATCCAGATTTATTGTTGA